TTGAGATGGTGAGCGCGAGGTCAATCAGATCCTGTAGCCGCACATAGGAACCCAGATGGCGTATTCGCGAGAAGATCTCCTCCCTGAGGTCGTCCCGCAGACCTCGCGCAAAGAAGAGGACGTGGTCTTCTTCGTGGCGGTATGGTAGATCGGCCATAAGGCGCTTATACTCCGCGATGTAGCGCTGGAGGGAGTTTGGTCCGGAACCCTGCATCAGCTCAAACATTGCAAGCTGTGCATCTAATTTGTGTTGGATCACTGGGGCCAGCGGAGTGAGTGCTTGTAATACTGCGTGGTATGAGTGGAATCGGGTGGCGGGGTCCGAATTTAGGCGCCGTAGACTGTCACCTGTTGTTCTGCGGAGAACTGCCAGGGCGATTTTTGCGGCCTCGGGGCTGTCCACGGGGACACCGGCCATGTCCAGATTGTGCCGCATTAGGATGTCCCAGCCCACTATGTCTGCCCGGGGTTCCTTGGGATCGAAGGTGGGAAAGTCGCGGGCGATATGCAGGAGGTTTGGCGTTGAATATGGTGACCGAGGGTGGGCGAAGCTGGGAACGGGGGCATAGGCTTGCGAGGGTCCAGGATGTGGCTGCGGTAGGGTCGGCCATGGGGTCGAGTTCGGAAGGTCGGCCACGGTGGCGCGGACGGCGGCGGCGATGGTCTCCTGAAGCGAGGGGACGTATGGTTCGGTGACGGAGGTGGTGGGGACGGAGTCGACGATGGGGACGGTAGGGACGGGGTTGACCATAGGGGGGATGGGCGTGAGCGTCGTAAACGGAGACGCGTGGACATTACTCGGGAGTTCCACGGACCGCGAACGGGATCGGTCGCGGTTGGCGTCCGTGGGAACGAGAGCCATCGGGGAAGATGAAGACGAAGACGATGGCGCGATGGCGCGACGACGCGATGATGACGAAGATGAAGAGCTCGGCGAGGAGGATCACCTAGGCTCTGATACCAATTGAAAGGGAACCAGGCCACACCTAACAACTGGGAAGCGTAAGCCGGCTTTACTTGCCGAAAAACTTGCGTAGGCACAGATGATCGGATTTCAAACTCAACTTAGACTTACAATGTTCATAACTTGGTCCGCTTAAATAGTCATATTAGCGCGCCATAACCTCACACGTTGTACACGCAAGTTCAAGCTCCACTAGCTCCGAAGATACGACATGGTTTCAGAAACGCGCGTTAACGAACTGCAAAACATTACAATTATCTTAAATGTGGACTTAGTGTGTGGCTAGTGGACAGGTGTTTCCACTAAACGCCCCGGAACCATACGACAGGTTGCTATTAAGGCGCCAAACCATTGTAAAAGTAAGAGTAGGATGCTCTGCGTCTCTCTCTTTTCCCTACAATGGACTACAACTCACTTATTCAGATTGTGAGCGGTTTGGCCGCGGACCTGTTGGCCCTCCTAGCCATCACCGGCCAGGCAATGACGCTTCTTTGGATCCTCTGTCTGCTTGTCTTAACCAGTTGGAGCAGTTAGTGCTGTCGATGATAATCCACATAGTTTCCGTATGTACCACTCGCCACGGTCGGCCGGCCTGGAGACATTGAAACCGGCAGACCTCCAAAGCCTCGCATATTTGCGGTAAATGCCTGCTGCACAGTGTTTAGCTGTCGGCTCATAGCTGGCAATGTGGGCAATTCGACCGGTCCTGCTCGGAATTCCATTGGTCAACGGGCTATTTGCGACTATGGATAATGTTTAGTTAGTGCTGTCGATGATAAGTTTTTTTAGAAACTTTTACTTTCTATTCATGTATTTAACTAGTTTCTTATCGCTTGCATGATTTGCTGAGCCAGGTGTGAGATTTTTTGAACGTAATGTTACAGGGTGTTTCCATTTGGCCGCACACTAACATTAAGTTCAAAAATCCATAGTCGCAAATAACCCGTTGACCAGTGGAATTCCGAGCAGGACCGGTCGAATTGCCCATTTTTCCAGCAATGAGCCGACAGTTCAACACCGTGCAGCAGGCATTTACCGCAAATATGCGAGGCTTTGCAGGTCTCCCGGTTCAAATGTCTCCAGGCCGGGGCTGGACATACCACGGCGAGTGGTACATACGGAAACTATGTGGATTATCATGGACAGCACTAACTAACTGCTCCAACAGGTTAAGGCAAGAAGCCAGAGGATTCAAAGAAGCGTCATTGCCTGGCCCAGCTGACCCGGTGATGGCTAGGAGGGCCAACAGGTCCGCGGCCAAACCGCTAACAAGTTGAATAAGTAAGTTGTTGTCCATTGCAGGTAAAAGGGAGAGACGTAGGGCATCCTACTCTTACTAATACAATGGTTTGGCGCCTTAATTAGAGCCTGTCGTATGGTTCCGGGGCGCTTGGTGGAAACACCTGTCCACTAGCCACACACTAATGATAATGTTGCTACAGTTAGTGTGCGGCCAAATGGAAACACCCTGTAACTTCGCACGCAAATTTACCTGAATTAATTCCATTGGTCCATCTTTAGAGAATCAGAATAACTTTCAAACGCAATTTTAATCGGGGTGAAATAAGATGAATGTTACACCATGACGGACTGACGGACTGACAGCAGTGAACCTAGGGGGCTTGGCCCCCCCAATGGCACTTCGCGCCCGGGGCCTCGCCCAAAAACCTCCTCTCTGCTGTACGGGACAGATAGGGCCCGAAAGGAAATCTGATTTACTGCAGGCGGCGGAAGTAGTGGCGGCACCGATGTGGCTCACACCGACGAAAGGCACACACGGGGGTTTGGCGCTCACTGGACTGGGGGGAGGGGGCTGCTGGGGCTGGGCAGTGGCAACTGGCAGCGGAACTCCGTTTCGGCAGTCGGCGGTTTGTATGTATGTCTTATGTATGCCTGTGATCGTGCTCCTGCATGCATAAAATAAACAACAATCAGCTACCAGACGGCGCGGAGTTCGGGAGGATTTCATTGCCATTCACTGTAAACGTACATGTGTGTATGTATGTGTATGTGTGTGTGGTTCGTACAACGAACTATGTATGGATGGATAGGAAACGCCCCTTAATGGAATTGTAGCCGATCCTTATCTCCCGCTTTGCTAACATGCAATATCGCGCACTCAGATGATTAGTGCTCCGCTTTGACGGAGCAACTCCATCAGCACTTGCTTGAAGTTGAATTGAAAGAATCAGCAAGTTTCGATTTCGGCGATCCAAGGATTACCATGCTTGTTTAGGCAACGAATTGCCTGTATGCATACGCCGTGCAAGATCAAATTTCTGAAGGATAACGTACGATTATCATGACGTTGGCAACTGTACATGTATCCTAATTACGACATACACTTGCAGGCTATAGTCAGGTGCTCATGGCTGGTTCACGTTAAATGCGGTCGCCGTATAGTTTTTTTTGTCGTAAGTCATGCATTTCAAATCACATGGTGCATGTCTGCGGTGCTGCGCAAATGCCGTACTCCTAGATCCGTTGCCGTGACAGCAGCAGCAGCAGCAGTTGTGAACAACTTGGATGAGGTGGATGGGACACCCCTGCAGGGTGCCGGCGGGCACTTGAGTCTCGTCCAATGATGTGAGGCGCATATACACGGATTGGTTGGGGCGATTTGACGACAGCGACGGAGAGTGGGTAGGTGGCGGGTGGGGAACGGAGATGTCCAGGGAGACGCGAAGGCGTATCTCCAGCTAGTGGGTCCCATCATGCTGGCAGTTACGTCAAGAGACGTCGGGTTACGGCATAAATTACGGCATAAATCAATGCTTATCCAGGCTGTATTTAAATGATGGAAGCGGTATCAGCTATAGTTTCAGGAACGCGTGTGATATCGTGTGATACGCTGCAACAAGTTAACTATCTTTTCAAAGTTATTTTCATCTTTCCCTCACAGTGCTCAGCAGTATTTAGCCTTACAAGGGATTTACCGCCTAATTGGGGCTGCATTCCCAAAAAACGATAATAATGAGAGCGCCAGCTGCGGCAAGTGCCAGGGTCCATAACGATGGCTATTTGACGCACGACCTTGCCTCAACAGGACCGCTTCCTGTTTAGGCCACCTTTGGCGTTCGTTCGATACTCAATCGTTTGAGAGGCATGATTTGGCCATATGGCCGAACGCGACGGTGGCTTAATAAACTACTCGAGATTGTTCGGACGGCGTGCAGTTGTTAAAAATTGTTTATCCATTATTTATCCGTTTTGCCTAATAGTAAGGGGAAATGGATATTGAAACTGCCACACAACTCCACAGCTGAAAGCATTCTTTCCTTGACAAGCTGAAAGGCGACGCAAAACAAACGTCCACGAGAGCGTGCCTATCCAGGAGAATAGACCGTTGGTTGCACAGTCACTGAATAACCTTGATTTGATGAGCAAGTAAAAACGAACGAATGTTCTTGTTTAATGAACATTCCTTAATTACCAGGAGTTGCACAAACGAAAGGAAAACGCTGTATGCCGTACCGTACAAAGCACCGTAGGCTAAAAAAATGCAGTTAGTTGAAATGAAAAGACTTTATTGCTCAAAAAAGATTCATATCAAACTGAATGATGGCATCAGATAGAACGGAACAGAACGACTAGATTTCGGCGAAGGGTAAGGAGCGAGAGGCGGAGGTATCCTTTTATGGAACCCTTGCCTGGAGCCAATAAATGAAATCCACTGTAATGATTAATATCATCATAAATATGTCTTAATTACAGGCTGGAGTCGTCACAAAGTAACCATACCATCGAGTAAGTGTATACATCCATGTGGTCGCGACCGATACCACCAACGAGCTGCTGCATTACATCATCATATGATGATGTGTAAAAGTCTGAGTGCCAACAACAGGAATCTTGATGCCAGCAGGACAGGGATACCCGCTCGCCCGTGCGCATCAACATAAGATGCGCAAAGCTCTGGTCCTTGCGCTGGCGATAGCGTTAGCAGCGGTGCTACTGGCGTCCTTCAGAATTGCAGACGGCCAAGGTATAGATGTCTCCGACTGCGCCACGCATACGGCCATACATCTACCTCTGCAGCTTACCGACCTTACCTACGGTTTTAAATCGACCGCAGCGCACGCAGAATTCTTAGCTTCCCTTACACTTATTAGGCGCATAAGCGAATGAGATTTTTAATTCTAAAGGTAATATAAGCATATTTAGTGAATTAGATGACGCACATTATTACTTGCAGTTGCATTCCGCTGTTGGCGGGTGGCGGGGAAGACGAAAAGTGCTGTGCCTGCCTGCCTGCCTGCCTGCCTGTTTGCGGTCATGCAACTCTACTGGCTGCACAGTTATTCTAATTGAAGCAAAGGGCAGCAATCCTCTAGCCTAAAGTGCTACATCCCATGCGAGCAATGATGCACATGCTCCGCGCCTCACACAAAGTTAAACACGCCAGCGCACAGCAGCGCATCAGCAACGGCCGTGACGGGTGGAAATGACAGGCAGGATACGTGCAGAGAGCACTGCGACAACGAAAAGGAAAAGGATCTGCCTTGCTTGGATAGGATCGCGTCTCGACATCTTCATCCATCACCTCACCTTCATTATCACCATCAGGTTGATACCTATGCTTCATTTAATGCATCCTCCGCTCCCGCCCCCACCTCTTCATGTGTGCGTTCTGCCGCATTTCTCCACGCCGTCGCTCCTCGCTCCTCCTCCTCGTCCCCCCCAGGTGCCCCCCCCTCGGAATGTCCCCTCGTCACCGGATATGAGTTTCACCGCAAGCAGGAGGCGGCCCGCGTGCTCATCCTTGGCACATCCGCCGCCTCTTCGCCTGACAGCATCGCCGAGGAATGTGGAAACACGAGGTTCTGTAACGCCTTCACTGCCGCTGGTGACCTGCTGTCCGTCCCCATGTTCCCCGTGTTCACTGACATGGAGGGGGACAGCAGTGATGACGAGGCTCGTGATGATACACGGCAGTCATGTGCGGGTACCTACGTCGCCACGGTCGGGGGTACCTTTGGTTTGAAATTGCCTGTAAGTAAACATATCACATTTATTAAAACACTTCATCATTTCATCACCACCACCACCACCACCACCACCACCACCACCACGTTCACCATCACGTTGACCACCACCACCACCACCACCACCATTTTCACCGTCATTATCAACAGAGCCGGCCCTACCCCAACAGCCAATCCAGACAGCCGTCCACCATTTGGCAGCACCAGATAATCCTCACTAACCTCACTGCGGCGTGTTTAGTGGATGCAAAATAATCTATCTATCGCACAGTTACCTTGTAGCCTTCCTGCCGTACACGCTTCTTGTCCTACATAACCCTGCTTTACATACACACATAGCGCTCCACCAAGACTGTAATAGACCTCGCTTCACGCAATCTCGTACAGGATAACTTGGATTTCGACTTGTTGCGCCGGGAGGGAGAGGTGTCGGCTTTGGGCATGAGAGCAACAATTGCCGTGGCCAAAGAGGTGCGCGTGTGTTGGTGCATTCAAGGAAGGTTGGATGGAATGAACACGTAACGCGTCGAGACTTGTGTGTTTGTATGTGTGGTTGTTACAGTGGGCTCCAGACTCATGAAGAGAAGAGCCAGCGGGCCGGCTGGCCGTGTACTGCAAAACAATGGCTCCTTCTGTAAGGCAAAGGCCTGGTAACAGTGCCGGATCGGTGCTCATGGCTGCAGCCATACATCGTGTGCCCGTGCCCGTGAGACTTTTTGGGACATGTAATAGAGTCATGGATGAACGACGAATGGCAAATCCTCCCCACCTCCCCACCTCCCCACCTCCCCACCTCCCACCTCCCCACCTCCCCACCTCCCCACCTCGCCACCTCCCCACCTCCCCACCTCCCCACCTCCCCACCTCCCCACCTCCCCACCTCCCCACCTCCCCACCTCCCTCCCTACCTACCTACCTCCTTCATTACCTACCCACCTGCCTGCCTTCATGCATGCATGCAAAGACGGACGAGCCGTCGCAGATGCAGATCATCGCATCCTTCACTGCATATCGGAGTTGTGTAGAGCCTGCTGCTGGCCAAATAGAATAGATCGAGCTAGGAGGACATACATGCAGCTAATACACTAGCTCTACCCTGTGTATTACGCAAAAAGTGGTCGTTGTGCATGTATGTACCCTTAGATAACGGATCACTTGAAAGGATTGCTCTCTTAGATTCATGTAGATGGATGGATAGGCAGCTAGAATGCTAGACGGATGCAGGACATGTAAGCGGTATACAGGGTGCGGCATGCAGGGTGGGGCTGGAGCAGGCTATTATTGCTTTGCGCCCCTTCGGCAGCCCGCTGGATACATGTGTTACATGCAAGCATGCCTCGCATTGTTGGCGGATAAACAGTGAGGCACAGCAATTAGATTGCCACTGCTGTCATGGCTGGGCAGCCGGTCTATGTGGTATCCGTCCAGCCGCTGTAAAGGCCTCTCGAGATGCTCGGAATAATTTACTGTAGCGTGTTTAGGTGTTGACGTGTGCGCCGTACTGTACGACAGATAATACATGAGATGCCGACATCGTGTATTCGCATGTGTATGTAATGACGGTGTATGCTGCCAATGTACGACAGCTACCACAGCTCGTTGGCTGGCAATTAAGCCCACGCATGCTGATGCGCCTAAGCGGTAGGAGCGGCATCGAGTGGTGGGTGCGCTGGCTTGTGAACGATGGCTGGATCGGGTATTGCAGTGTTGCCGCGGGCATGTGTTTTCAGATCATATGCCTACGGCGCCGCTGGGCGACTGTGCTCCTGTATGTATGATGTGTGGGACAGGGGGGTGTATCTTCACCCGTGGCCGCTACCTTGCGAAACCCTGTCTTCCCCGGTATTTCGGGGCACCCTCATCCAGTCACCCTAGTCAACTTCTCAGTGGATCGCTCAGGTTCCGCACCCACCACCAGCATCCAACGGAATCTGCCGGGTCGACGACGGCCCAACTCCATTTCTGCTCGGCTCGCAGATTGACTTTCTCCCAGATCGCCACCGTCCATCAACTGGGGGCACGTTACCTTCCACAATCGGATGTATATTTGACCCTGACAGGTCTCGATCCCGGGATCTCCCGGGGGCATGGGACGTGCCTTACCAGATGTATGCATGACGTCACTCCCACCCCGCCTGGCTGAGGTCCTGCGTACCCCCAACTGCATCTATCCCCCAACTGCAGGTGACGGCGGTGTTGGAGGCAGTGAACCTGAACCCCCAAGACGCCGCCGACCTTCCTGAAGAAATTCTCATGGAGGCGTTCACGACAGCACTTGTGCGTGCGTGTTGTGTGTGTTGTGTATGTATAGGATTGTATGTAGTATACACACAACATGCATCATATAACAGCATTTATTCATATATGATATGATATGGGAAACGCTACGTGGTATGAGGCACCAATTCAACTGATGCTTGCTCGCTTGCATCGATTATTGCAAATCCGGTGTATTTCTCGTTTGCATGTGTAGTAGTGTGCGTGCTTGTCCTTTTGGCAGCTGCAGGCTGTTGTATCTATACCTCTGCCAAGCCGATCAGGCGCCCAGACATGGATCTACATGGTGCGTGTTGAACCCCCTAATGTATGCCGCAGATCCCCTTCATGAACGATTCAGCGGAACAGGGCAATGTCATCGGAAACTATGACTTTGAAGGCATCCTTGCGGCGGTGCAGTACCCGGAATGGGACTCCCGTTTCAGCGGTCCTTTCAACTTCGTCAGCCCCGTCAAGGACCAGGGGGGGTGCGGTTCGTGTGTTGCCTTCGCTGTAACAGCCGTAGCTGAGTCGACTGTGGCCGCGGTCAGCAACATCTCAGCTGAGGATGTCGACCTGTCAGAGCACTGGTATGTGGTGGGTACTGCGTGCTGGGTAGGACGGACGTAAATCTTATCTCATCTACAGTACAGTGCAGTACAATACAGTACCTAAAAACAAAAACTGTAAGCATAATACAAACATACATGCAACTGGGCCTTTATTTATTTACTTAGGGTCGTGTTACCGACTTGAGGCTATCCTGGAGCTATCAGTAAGTCGAAAGCTTTCGCCACCTTAGCAGGTAGAGAGCTCCCTCCCTCGAGGGTTCAACAGACTTGTGAAGTGCTGTTACAATCTGTTTTAGCAAAAATATGATGGCGCTGTTGTTTCCCTCTATGACGGAGTTTTGTATTCGAGTTGGAAATCTTGCTTGGAGCTAATGAGTAGGTGGGTGATAATTTTGTTTCCCGTATCGAAGCACTGTATGTTAAGATATCTACGTATAGACCACTGGTTCATTTATAGCACATATGCACAGCAACAGGCTAAAAGGGATGGACGCAAGCGCATCGCCATACCTAATAGCACCTTACACGCCGAGCTGCTCTCCTGAAACCCACATAAACCGTTAATACTTCGTACCATGACGTACCACCTGCCCGCCCGCCAACCCCTCCTGTGCTGCCAGGTTGTTCTTCTGTAATGGCGTGGAGAGGGCTTACTGCCATATTGGCTGGTACGCCGAGATGCCGATGGAGATTATTGAGAAAAAGAATTTGCCGTACGAACGGAATTATCCGTACAATCCGTATTCGGAAAATCCCAGCTGTGCCCTAAATGCGCCACCGGAGATGACACCGGGCGGCCAATTCAAAAGGGTCTTTCTCACAGATTACACAGCGGTACGAGCATGCCCCTGTATGTATGTATGTATGTATGTATGTATGTATGTATGTATGTATGTATGTATGTATGTATGTATGTATGTATGTATGTATGTATGTATGTATGTATGTATGTATGTATGTATGTATGTATGTATGTATGTATGTATGTATGTATGTATGTATGTATGTATGTATGTATGTATGTATGTATGTATGTATGTATGTATGTATGTATGTATGTATGTATGTATGTATGACGTTGATTACACTGTGGGCTGAAAAGCCGGGGGCCCAGGGCCGAAGCACAGCGCGGGGGGCGGGTGCATACGGCTGGTTAGTCTCATGCACTCCGCCCCCGGGTCAGGCCGCACGGGAAACGACGGCCGGCACGCAACAGCGCTTGTTTGGCGCTCCAACTAGACGGGATCTATGCCCGTTGGTCTCCTAACATAAACGAAGTCGCAACTGGGGGGCTCTTCCTGCCGACCGAACGAACCGAGCATCTCAGAGAGCTCGCTACCAGGACTTGGGCGACCGGGAGCCCGACGAGTCTTCCCGGGCTGGGGAGGTCACCAAGCTCAAAAATCCTCACGCAAAAAAGAGCGCAAAGAGCTCACACCACAAGACGCCAAACAGCCTCCTGAGACTACTACCCTCTTCGGCCTTTCCCTCCTTGGGCTAGTCCAGGGGAGATAGCCCCCTTGAGGGGGTAACCCCGCACAAGTCCGCGCCCTTCCACAGCACTGGGTCTAATTTGAAAAGTACTCAAACGGGAAGACCCTGCGGCAACGCCGGGCGATCAAGCCTCCGGAAACCACAGGGGGGGAGGGATATGTATGTATGTATGTATGTATGTATGTATGTATGTATGTATGTATGTATGTATGTATGTATGTATGTATGTATGTATGTATGTATGTATGTATGTATGTATGTATGTATGTATGTATGTATGTATGTATGTATGTATGTATGTATGTATGATGTGTGAAACAGGGGGGTGTATCTTCGCCCGTGGCAGCTACCCTGCGAAACCCTGCCTTCCCCGGTATTTCGGGGCACCCTCATCCAGTCACCCTAGTCAACTTCTCAGTGGATCGCTCAGGTTCCGCACCCACCACCAGCATCCAACGGAATCTGCCGGGTCGACAGCGGCCCAACTCCATTCCTGGTCGGCTCGCAGGTTAACTTTATCCCAGGTCACCACCGTCCATCAACTAGGGGCGCAATGCCTTCCACCATCGGAAGGACTTTTGACCCTAATGGGTATCGATCCCGGGATCTCCCGGGGGCAATGGTCGCGCATTACCAGTAGTGCCAAACCCTAGTCAATATATGTATGTATGTATGTATGTATGTATGTATGTATGTATGTATGTATGTATGTATGTATGTATGTATGTATGTATGTATGTATGTATGTATGTATGTATGTATGTATGTATGTATGTATGTATGTATGACGTTGATTACACTGTGGGCTGAAAAGC